AATGTCTCATAGATAAAACTTTGAAAAGAAACAATAATCTCGAAGTCCAAACTGGACAAACTGGAGGAAGAAAAATGAAATACTTTAAATCAAAATACAAAATTCAAAAGATAAAGTCAGCAGTGAACACATGGAAGTGGTTTACATCCCCTGAAAGCTGAGAAGATTAGTTTGAGGTGCAGCTCAGCCAGTGTGTGTCAAGTCTCTTCTAGTCGTAAATCTGTAATAAACATCGTGTTTTGGTGAGATGCTTATTGAAATGTTCAAAGCTTAGAGTGAAGGTTTATAGGTTTATAGTTAGGGCTGGTTCAGGTTTATAGTTAGGGCTGGTTCAGGTTTATAGTTAGGGCTGGTTCAGGTTTATAGTTAGGGCTGGCTCAGGTTTATAGTTGGGGCTGGTTCAGGTTTATAGTTGGGGCTGGTTCAGGTTTATAGTTGGGGCTGGTTCAGGTTTATAGTTAGGGCTGGTTCAGGTTTATAGTTGGGGCTGGCTCAGGTTTATAGTTGGGGCTGGTTCAGGTTTATAGTTAGGGCTGGTTCAGGTTTATAGTTAGGGCTGGTTCAGGTTTATAGTTGGGGCTGGTTCAGGTTTATAGTTGGGGCTGGTTCAGGTTTATAGTTGGGGCTGGTTCAGGTTTATAGTTAGGGCTGGTTCAGGTTTATAGTTAGGGCTGGCTCAGGTTTACGGGATACGGTACCATTTTGCCGATCATCATGACGTAGGGTCCCAGGTATTTGTTGACTCCGAAGATGTCGAGGACTCGGATGTACCAGAAGATGATGTCGACGCAGTAGATGACGCGTCCGTAGCCCATTGACGGCTCGTTCCGAGTAGGAAGACAGAGATGGCCGCCAGGTCAGTAATGTTCCAGTAATCCTTCAGCCACACGTTGATCTTCTGCTTCAGCTTCCCCGGCTCCGACATCAGGATCTGATGGAGGGACAGAGTTTAACTGTACTGGACATCAGTAACATCAGCTGTGTTTCAACAGATCCATAAAGTGTCTGACTTGTTCTTTTATCAAATAGTTATTAATTTTATTGATTTTAGGTTCTTCTTATATGGCTGCTTGTTTTAGAGAAGAGAAAGCTGCCTCAGCCGTGATGTGTTCTCACAGGTTACAGTGTTATAACCTCAGCTATTGCATATTATTACCTCTGTACATAGCTGACCAGCTGAAACACTTGGCTCTCAGCACTTGAAGCTGTCTCACGATGTGAACAGTAGAGCTTTGGTTCAGGTGTGTCTCCATGTTTACCTGTCGGACTTTCTCCAGTCCCAGAGTGATGATGTAAGAGATGACGATCCACTCCTGCAGAGACGGCCATCGCTCCATCTTCACCAGGATGATGTAGTTATACAACGCCAGGTACACCAGGTATGAGATCTGACACACACACACACACACACACAGATGGTTATAATAATATTAATATTAATACTATGCTAAACTACCCTACTGTGTAACAACACAAGGTATCATTGTTATACTATACTTTGTCACATCATTGTGACTGTATTTTCTTGTATTCCGTTAACTCGTATTCTTATTTATACAGTAAATATACTGTATAAATATATTTACATCATATATTGGTATTGTATATATTTATTATTTGTTTTTTACAATATATTTATGGTACATTAATACACAGTTACATCTTTAGTCACAGTCACGTAGATACTACGTCTGGTTTAAATCTTTTTTTTGTATTTACGGGATATTTATTTTTTCTAAATATCTGACAAATCAACATTTTCTGGGGTTATTGTTTAAGGGTTTCCTTTTTCTTTCCAGTCTTTATGCTAAGCTAAGCTAACCAGCAGCTGGCTGTAAGTTCAACAGCAAACCACCAAAGTCACATGTATTACAGCATTCATTGTACTGAAAGTGACAAACTAAAGAAGAGCAACTTATGAATCATAAGACTATATTTGAATCACCTGCGAGCACTTTAACATCAAACTGTCCTTCTGTGAGTCTTCATAAAACCAGGAGAGACCAACGGACACAAAACATGAACAAGTGTTCAGGAATGTGGTTTACTGGTATTCAAATTAAAGTAATCTTTTAAAATGACCAATAATGAAATCATTATTTTGACATGAACAATGAACCTGAAGTGTTCGGTTTGAGGGAACTTCCCCGTGTTTCTGTGTCTAAAGCCGCGTTTCCACCAAACTGTCCTGATGTTTTATTTTAGCACCTTGTTCGAGGTTTCAAGTTGAGCTGAAGCTAAGAGGGTGAAGATGAAACACTCCTGATTGGTCAGAGACGACACGGGACGTCCTGCACAAAGTCTCCAGTCTTAACAGCCGAGCTCGTCAATAATGAGCACATTTTTCTATACACTCGCCAATCACGCTGCTCTACAAATGACATCCACTCAAAGAGCTTGTTGTCTCCACCAACAGGTCCGATTGTTATTGAAAGACAACTTTATGAAAAAGACCCTTCAGAGAAATAAAGCGCTTACATTGCAGTTCAGAACCCTGTTGTCCTCATTAGGTTAAAAGAACACAGAGGTTACTCTCTAAATGAATACAGCTGATATTACTGAGTGCACTATTTGAAACTTGCCGTGTTGAACCAGAACTTGGTGAAGGGAGTGTTGTAGAACTCGTAGATCTTCCTCCCGATGGGAGTCCTCCTCTTGTCTTTACTCTGCTCTTGTTCTTCGTCTCCTTTCTTTGACGTAGCGTTGACGTTGGAGACCGCGTCCTGAAATAAACCCTCGATCACTCAAGCTGCTGCAGATCAATAATGAAGCTGCTATTGATCGATAAGCTGCTCCGCTGGTTTCGTACCTTGCTGGATCTGTTGTCGTCCTCTTTGGTTTTGCTCTCTTCGTTCTCTTTGGACGAGTGATACGAAGCTTCGTCACCCAAACGAAACTCCAGGAGGAGAATCGCAGGAGGAAAGACGATCCCTAAGATCACCTGGAGACACAAATCATCTCAGTATCACGTCAGACAGCTGAGACGATGAAACGAGAAGACATATTATTATCATTGTCATGACTTATTGTTTTCCCCTGTGTGTGGCTGGTACCTGAGGCTGTTGCTCTTGCACATCCTCAGGCAGCCCATCCACATGTCCGTCAGCAGCATCTGGCTGCAGGTGTGAGCGATGAAGTCTCTGTGCTTCGCAGCTTCAGACAGGTGGAGCTGCTCCAGTTCTTCAGCTCGTACGTCAGCAGCTTCATCGCCACCTGCTCGTCGTGTTTGTACGACTGATCCAGCAGCTCGTAGGCCAGCTGACCGAACTCCCTGCAAACAGAGAGACACACCAGCGCCCCCTCAGGACTGCAGCTGCACTGCACACCTACAGCACTGTTCACTCTCTGCAAGTCTGTCTCCATCTTTATCCCCAAACAAACCGCACAGAGACCTGAACAAGAGTCCCAGTACGGTGGCCTTCTGAGGACATGTCAGACCTAACATAACATACAATAATCACTGTTATAATGCATTATGAAGTGATTATAATGCGCTCTATGTGGTCATTATGACTATGGGAGTTATAATGCACTATGATCCCAGCAATGATATTATGACTCGTCAGTTTATAACTCTTTATAGGATGCTTTATAATGTGTTGTGATTATTATTGTAGAGCAGTATAACTATAACTATAACTATAGAGTGCTATAAGCAGTATAACCCAGTCTGGATCTGCCACAGACCTGATGTGGGCTCCGTGGTCTGAACGGGACCTGGTCTCTGTGGTTTCTGCGTGACTCACTTGGAGTTGTTCTCCAGGTCCTGGGAGATGTCCTCCACCGGCTCGCTCTGGGACGACTCGTGGGCCATGGCCTTGTAGAGCTTACAGGCCACCAGGGCTTTGACCATGGCCTCCTCGCCCCGCTGCCACAGGAACAGCGCCATCTTCTGGCACTTCATCAGCACGGCCCAGACCATCAGCTCGTGGAACGGGTACTGGAACCTGCTGAGCTCGGGGTCGTCCACGTCGATGTCCAGCTCCTCTTCCTTCTACTTGTTCTTCTTCCCTTTGCCCTTACGAGGCTCGTCCTCCTGCAGGAGCCGGTCCACACGAGTCCACCAATCACAGACTCAGTCCACTATCTATACTTAAATATTCAAAATAATGAAACAACAACACACCTCCATTCCAAGAAGTTTTAGAGCTTTAGGCTGTAAGAGAAAATATGAAAAGATCAAATCATTATTCCAGAAATATACTAATATTAAACCTTCATGATATTTAATGTTTAAAAACAACTTTACTTAAATCCTCTGATGCTCGATGTCGCACATCTTTAAAAAGAAACGATTTACACGAAACACTTCGTCTTCAAACATCACGGAAGTTTGTGAACGGACCGTTTATCTCGACTGTGACTGTTTGAGAGTGACGCTGCAGGTTCTGAAAATGATCCGTAGTTATATTAATATGACCCTGTATTATATTAATATGTAGTTATATTAATGTGACCCTGTATTTTATTTATTTATATATATATATATATATATATATATATATATATATATATATATATATATATAAAAAAGTTACTTTTTTCAAATAAATAAATCACTTTTATGGAAAGAATTCTGACCTGTATAAAAGCAACCCTCACAACATAAAAATACTTTTTACATGTTAATGTATCCATAATGATATATGAATAATAATTTACCATTTAACATGTCTGAAGATCGTTCGTCAGGCAATTTGAAAATTCAAATATTAAATCAATGAAAACCCTAAAGGTTAAATGCTGACCTGAGGGTTTCTAGTTTACAGTGTAAACTCTCCAATCCAGCAGACAGCAGCTTCACTCCTGAATCCTGCAGGTCGTTTTCACTCAGGTCCAGGTCTCTCAGACTAGAGGACGTGGAGCTGAGAACTGAAGACAGAGCTTCACAGCTTCTCTCTGAGAGATTACAGCCACTCAGTCTAAAGAAGAATCCGAAATTCATAAGAAATCAATCAAGTCTTTTTATTTTGTAATAAAATAAAACTGCATTTAATCTGATAGTTGTGTGTCCAATTACAGAGCTTTGTTGGAGGCTTTGACCACTGGCAGCAGCCTCAGAAGAGCCTCCTTGGAAGCAGAATATTTCTTCAGGTCAAACACGTCCAGATCTTTTCCTGATGACAGTAAGATGAAGCCCAGAGCTGACCACTGAGCAGGAGACAGTTTATCTGTGGAGAGACATCCTGACCTCAGGGACTGTTGGATCTCCTCCACTAGAGAACCATCATTCAGTTCATTCAGACAGTGGAACAGATTGATGCTTTTCTCTGGAGACACATTCTTTCTGATCTTCTTCTTGATGTACTGGACTGTTTCCTGATTGGTCTGTGAGCTACTTCCTGTCTGTGTCAGCAGACTTCGTAGGAGAGTCTGATTGGTCTGCAGTGAAAGACCCAGGAGGAAGCGGGGGAACAAGTCCAGGTGTCCAATTGGACTCTGTAAGGCCTTGTCCACAGCACTCTGGTAGAGACGTTTTGGTTCAGGTTTGCCTCTAAAGACTTCAGACCACCGGGAGGTTGTTTGTTCTTCTGACAGCAGATTGACTCCAGAGTTGATGAAGGTCAGATGGACATGAAGAGCAGCCAGAAACTCCTGAACAGTCAGATGGACGAAGCAGAACACCTTGTCCTGGTACAGTCCTCTCTCCTCTCTAAAGACCTGTGTGAACACTCCTGAGTACACTGAGGCTGCTCTGATGTCGATGCCAGACTCTGTCAGGTCGGATTCATAGAAGATCAGGTTGCCTTTCTGCAGCTGAGCAAAAGCCAGTTTCCCCAGAGACTCAGTCATCTTCCTGCTCTCTGGACTCCAGTGTGGATCTGTCTCAGCTCCTCCATCATACTTGACCTTCTTCAGTTTGGACTGAACCACCAGGAAGTGGATGTACATCTCAGTCAGGGTCTTGGGAAACTGTCCTCCCTCTCTGGTCTTCAACACCTCCTTCAGAACTCCAGCAGTGATCCAGCAGAAGACTGGGATGTGGCACATGATGTGGAGGCTTCGTGAGGTCTTGATGTGGGAGATGATCCTGCTGGCCTGCTCCTCATCTCTGAATCTCTTCATGAAGTAATCCTCCTTCTGTGGGTCAGTGAACCCTCTGACCTCTGTCACCATGTCGACACACTCAGGAGGGATCTGATTGGCTGCTGCAGGTCGTGTGGTTATCCAGAGGCGAGCAGAGGGAAGCAGTTTCCCCCTGAAGAGGTTTGTCAGCAGCACATCCACTGAGGTGGACTCTGTAACATCAGTCAGGACCTCATTGTGGTGGAAGTCCAGAGGAAGTCGACAATCATCCAGACCGTCAAAGATGAAGAGAACCAGGAACTCTTCAAACCTGCAGATTCCTGCTTCTTTGCTTTCACTGAAGAAGTGATGAACAAGTTCCACCAAGCTGAACTGTTTCTCTTTCAGCACATTCAGCTCTCTGTAAGTGAATGGAAATGTGAACTGTATGTCCTGGTGGTCTTTGTCTTCAGCCCAGTCCAGAGTGAACTTCTGTGTTAAGACTGTTTTCCCAATGCCAGCCACTCCCTTTGTCATCACTGTTCTGATTGGTTCCTCTCTTCCAGGTGAGGCTTTAAAGAGGTCTTCTTGTCTGATGGTTGTTTCTGGTCTGTGTGGTTTCCTGGATGCTGTTTCAATGTGTTTGACCTCATGTTGATCATTGACCTCTGCAGTCCCTCCCTCTGTGATGTAGAGCTCTGTGTACATCTGATTCAGAAGGGTTGGGTTTCCTGCTTTAGCGATCCCCTCAAACACACACTGGAACTTCTTCAGGTTAGATTTGAGTTCATGCTGACAAACTCCCGAATTACTTCCTAATGAAAAACAAAGAACATCAATGAATATATTATTAGGCAAATATGTCAACATATCTGAATATATTCTGGTCCATCTTGTGACGACCCCTCCCTTCCACTAGGGTCTGTGTCCTGTTTGCTGTCTATTTTGTGTTGCAGGATGTTAATCAGCAGCTAACGAGCCCCACCTGAGCCTGCTGGAAGTGGCAGCTATAAAGATGCACCACCTGAACATGGGGCCTCCACTCCTCTCCGACTCCCCTGGCCTGACACGGCTGCTGCTTCATTTGATTGTTTGGTTATTTGTTCGTTAAATAAATGTCTATTTATTACTTTTATCACTCGTCTTGTCTCCCTGATGTTGCAGCCTTGGAGATAGGTCGTAACACATCTCTGGAGACATTAGTAAACATTTATCCAGCATGTTAAATCTTTAGAGAAATCCTCTTACTGCTCTGCAGACAGTCAGCCAGCTCCTCCTGCTTCATTCTCCTCAGGAAGTGCAGTGTGATCTTCTCAAATGCCTCTCTGCTGCTCCTCCTCTGCTCTTCATCCTCACTGTCCAGCACCTCCTCATCCTCCATCTGACACTCTAAGCATTCTGGGTAATCTGGACTCAGAACTCTCTGGACTTTCTTCAGCTCGTTCTTCACAAAAGTCACGATGTTTTCCTCCAGCAGCTGGAACAGAATGATAAACTGAATATTAAATATAGAGAACACAACGTGTGACTCATCCGTCCGTCTGAAGGCCTGCTGGTGCAGGCAGTATGGAGGCTGTTGGGACCCGAATGGTAGTTTAGCATTCATCTGTAGTTGATGTAGTTAATAGTGAAAGGTGTGTGTGTACATGTACACACCATGAATATGGAGTCCAGGTGTGTTTGATGCTGCTGGGTGGACCGAACCTCTGAGCTCTGCTGCTGAACTCTGAGGAGAAAACAAAGTTTAAGGAAATTTAAAGACTCAAATCTGCAGACAGCTGAGTTTTCTAATAAGAACAACATGATAAACAGACAACTGGGGGTACAGTTGGTTGTGTTATGTCTAAGTCGGAGCTTCCAGACCTAACATATCTACTTTGTTTCTCAACCCGTGCTCAGTCTTCATCATTTTAGACTTGTTAGAATACCATCAGAAGTGACCTCTGTCACTGCTGTTTATCTTCGCTCTGAAGCTAATTTAGCCTAGTTTAGCAGCAGATATACAATATAACGGTTTGTATTATATCATTAAAAAATATGTGACTCCTCATTTTTTGTGTTTTCCTACAAAAGTCTAGCAACAGGTGTCAATTTGTGCTCATTGCATGCAAATGGTCTTTTCAAAATAATCTTTCATCTTGACAGGAAACAACTTAGTTAGGGTTAGCGATCAAAAATCGAAAAGTTTCGGCAACAAAACTACTTCTTAAGGTTTCGGAAAAGATCAGTGTTCAGGTTGAAATAATGACTGAAGTACCAAAGTTATGAGTCTTTCTCAGCTCTGCCACTTCTATCTAGTTTTTTCCACCTCTCACTCACCTAATCAGTTTTCAGTGCACCTGCCAGTCACACTCACCTCATCAGCTCATTACACTCACCTGCTCACTCTGCCTCCACTATTTAAACCCCTGCCTCACACACACTCACTGCCAGATCGTTCTCTGCTTTCATGAAATACTTTCCCGCATACACCCATGGACTGATTCCCTGTTGCCGACCCTGCCTGTTTCAGACTACCTCGCCTTGCCTCTGCCCTGGTAACTCGCTCAGCCTTCTGTCCTTGACCACGAGAACCTGTCGCTGTTTTCCTGAGAATATTCTTCCTGTCGTGTGTGTCGAAGAAAATAAAGATTTCAAGTCAAACTATTCCTGGTGTTCGTCGTACTGCTCCTGGGTCCTTACTACACCCGTAACAGAGTCAAATAAATCAACGTTGACTTAGAGTTTCAGACACGGAAACAAACAGCGGTCTCCCTAACTTCTAACACCTACGTTGCACTCTAGAGGGGTCCTGTCTCTGTCTCAGCCCTCTAGAGGGGTCCTGTCTCTGTCTCAGCCCTCTAGAGGGGTCCTGTCAAACAGTGTCGGAAAAGTTCTTTGCCAATTGAAACCAATGGATTACTTTTGTGACCGTTTCAACTGCTGTGAGACTTTGCGTTGTAAAATAACAAAGTTCAGTTTTATATTCTTACTTTCCTTCAGCAGCTGGTCCAACTTTAAAGTCATAAAAATGATCTATAGACTGGTCACTCTTTATGGACACACAGCTGGACCCAGATCCAGGTCCAGGTCTCTGCTGCTGCATCCTAAATCAAACAAGTGACGAATGAAAAGCAGTTGAAAATTGAAAAAAACACTTTTGACCAGAATCTCACTCGTTAAATTCCCTTATTGATAATATCTGTTCATCATTTCATCAATAACTAATGATAAGTCTTGTTTTTGAGAATTGATGCCAGTGTCTGGATCAATATTATGAATGGATCTGTATCACATCAGATCAGGTTTGGACATGACCTCTCTTCTTAGTTTCAGAGTTTTAGACTCACGTCACACGACTTTGATTCATCAAAGTTCAGTTCTAAACTCTTACCTTCCTTCAGCAGCTGATCCAACTTTAAAGGTAATAAAACGACCTATGGACTGGTCACTCTTTATGGACACACAGCTGGGCCCAGGTCCAGGTCCAGATCCAGGCCCAGGTCCAGCTCCAGGTCCAGGTCTCTGCTCCTGCATCCTGACACAAACAAAGACAGTGGATGAGTAACGTTCTCCTGTTCATCGTGATGTAATCTGATGGAAGATGCCGTCTCTTCGTCTCTTTGCTCACAAACAAAGTCAGCAGTTTGTATCATGAACACGTTTATTCAGTAGTTGGGTGAATGATGAGGGTGGAGCGATTTGAGTCCTGGACAGTTAGAGATCCTGGTCTCACCTCTGAGCTTTGGTCTGGCTGTCATGTTCCCCACTCAGAGTGGTTTTAGAGGGAGGGTCTCCCTCCTCTCCATCCTCACACTGGTTCATAGCAGAGTCCAAGCCTGCTGGAGTGATAGAGAGCTTTCAGTCAAACTAAGTCTGTCTCAGTGTGGAAGACGGTTGTGTTTCTGGCTCACATGCATCGTAGCTGTCCGACCAGTTCTGACACTCCCTGTGTTTTTCACTGACGTGAACTCTTATTATAACGTGCTGTAACCTGAGAACTACCAACAGTAACACACGCAGTTCTTTCAACAACCGGGTCGCTAACTCAAATAGAAACTCTTCAGAATCCAAATCTCCAAGAATCTGAAGAGTGACTGAAACATTAGTACAGTTAAACATTAGTACAGTTAAACATTAGTACAGTCAAACATTAGTACAGTCAAACATTAGTACAGTTAGACATTAGTACAGTCAAACATTAGTACAGTCAAACATTAGTACAGTCAAATATTAGTACAGTCAAACATTAGTACAGTCAAACATTAGTACAGTCAAACATTAGTACAGTTAGACATTAGTACAGTCAAACATTAGTACAGTCAAACATTAGTAAAGTTAAACATTAGTACAGTTAAACATTAGTACAGTTAAACATTAGTACAGTTAGACATTGGTACAGTCAAACATTAGTACAGTTAAACATTAGTACAGTTAGACATTAGTACAGTTAAACATTAGTACAGTTAAACATTAGTACAGTTAAACATTAGTACAGTCAAACATTAGTACAGTCAAACATTAGTACAGTTAGACATTAGTACAGTTAAACATTAGTACAGTTAAACATTAGTACAGTCAAACATTAGTACAGTTAAACATTAGTACAGTCAAACATTAGTACAGTCAAACATTAGTACAGTTAGACATTAGTACAGTTAAACATTAGTACAGTCAAACATTAGTACAGTCAAACATTATTACAGTCAAATATTAGTAAAGTTAAACATTAGTACAGTTAAACATTAGTACAGTCAAACATTATTACAGTCAAATATTAGTAAAGTTAAACATTAGTACAGTTAAACATTAGTACAGTCAAACATTAGTACAGTCAAATATTAGTACAGTTAGACATTAGTACAGTCAAACATTAGTACAGTTAAACATTAGTACAGTTAAACAGTACAGTCAAACATTAGTACAGTTAAACATTAGTACAGTTAAACATTAGTACAGTCAAATATTAGTACAGTCAAACATTGGTACAGTCAAATATTGGTACAGTCAAACATTAGTACAGTCAAACATTGGTACAGTCAAATATTAGTACAGTTAAACATTAGTACAGTCAAACATTAGTACAGTTAAACATTAGTACAGTCAAACATTAGTACAGTCAAACATTGGTACAGTCAAATATTAGTACAGTTAAACATTAGTAGTCAAACATTAGTACAGTTAAACATTAGTACAGTTAAACATTAGTACAGTCAAACATTAGTTCAGTCAAATATTAGTAAAGTCAAACATTAGTACAGTTAAACATTAGTACAGTTAAACATTAGTACAGTCAAATATTAGTACAGTCAAACATTGGTACAGTCAAATATTAGTACAGTCAAACATTAGTACAGTTAAACATTAGTACAGTTAAACAGTACAGTCAAACATTAGTACGTTAAACATTAGTACGTTAAACATTAGTAGTCAAACATTAGTACGTTAAACATTAGTACGTTAAACATTAGTACAGTCAAACATTAGTACAGTTAAACATTAGTACAGTTAGACATTAGTACAGTCAAACATTAGTACAGTTAAACATTAGTACAGTTAAACATTAGTACAGTCAAACATTAGTACAGTTAGACATTAGAACAGTTAAACATTAGTACAGTCAAACATTAGTACAGTTAAACATTAGTACAGTCAAACATTAGTACAGTCAAACATTAGTACAGTTAAACATTAGTACAGTTAAACATTAGTACAGTTAAACATTAGTACAGTCAAACATTAGTACAGTCAAACATTAGTACAGTTAGACATTAGTAGTCAAACATTAGTACGTTAAACATTAGTACGTTAAACATTAGTACAGTCAAACATTAGTACAGTCAAACATTAGTACAGTTAGACATTAGTACAGTTAAACATTAGTACAGTTAAACATTAGTACAGTTAAACATTAGTACGTTAAACATTAGTACAGTCAAACATTAGTACAGTCAAACATTAGTACAGTTAGACATTAGTACAGTCAAACATTAGTACAGTCAAATATTAGTACAGTCAAATATTAGTACAGTCAAACATTAGTACAGTTAAACAGTACAGTCAAACATTAGTACAGTTAAACATTAGTACAGTTAAACAGTACAGTCAAACATTAGTACGTTAAACATTAGTACGTTAAACATTAGTAGTCAAACATTAGTACGTTAAACATTAGTACGTTAAACATTAGTACAGTCAAACATTAGTACAGTCAAATATTAGTACAGTCAAATATTAGTACAGTTAAACATTAGTACAGTTAAACAGTACAGTCAAACATTAGTACGTTAAACATTAGTACGTTAAACATTAGTAGTCAAACATTAGTACGTTAAACATTAGTACAGTCAAACATTAGTACAGTTAAACATTAGTACAGTTAGACATTAGTACAGTCAAACATTAGTACAGTAAAATATTAGTACAGTCAAATATTAGTACAGTCAAACATTAGTACGTTAAACATTAGTACAGTGTGACGACCCTCCTCCTCCCATATACCAGGTGTCCCTGGGTGGTTGCTGATGTCTTGCAGGTGCTGATTGGAGGGTCGTTAGCTGAATGAGCCACACCTGAGCCGGTGTGGTTGTGCCTTTCAAAGATCCTCCTCAGTTGGCAGCCTGGGGGTTCGGGGAGAGGAGATCCTGTCGCCCACCAGCACTAATATCAGTCTTTTGGTTGATCTGTTTGTTCTTGTTATTTACCGTTACACACCCATACATGCACCTCAGGACTGATAACTGACACCAACTTTTATATTGTTAAATTATGTTTGAACAATAAACCTGCTTTTTTAGCAGCCAGCTTGTTGGTCTTTCTGGTTTGTCTCAGTCACGGAGCCGGGCTGTGACAACAGTCAAACATTAGTACAGTTAAGTTTACAGACACGTTCCACCTTCACGTGTGGGGGAAACACTGGAGAAGAAGAAGCTGCTCGTGTCCTCCCGTCTGTGTGCTTTTGACCCGAGGACGCCGTCACACCCTCAGAGTCAGAGTGGCGTCTAAACCAGTCAAACCAGTGGCAGAAACCCAGCCGGTGTTGGAGGAGTCACATGTCAGATAACGTGCTTCTGCTTCCTGTGCACTAGATGGTGGTCCCTGAACGTCTCAGGAGATCTCTGTGTCTGTTTGTCTCATTCGTGCCGGTTTAGAAACAAAGGTGTAATCCTTATGTTTGTTTCTGTTCAGCTTCAAACTTCCCCCAAATAATTCAGCTGTTCAATGAATTCTGTGTTTGGACTTTGCAGAAGTGTAAAGTGACTAAGATTATTTACTCAGGTTTAGTTCACATGATGATTTAGGATAACTTTCTTACTTTCTGTTTTTTCTCATTTGCTTTCCGTAAAACCTTTATAACCCTAGCCCTATTTTTAGGCCTCTGCTCGAAAATTGCATACCCATACTAAAAAGAGTGTATTTCTGCAACTACAAGGTCTATTTGAATAATTTTAATGTTATAATAAAGGTAACACGTGTGAGATTAGTTCAGATGTGTAAATATCAGTGTATATGTTACTGGTTAAGAGTAACTGAAGATGGCACACAGCTCAAATTGAAAAGTTTCAGGTTCACCTGAAAAAAAAGCACTTTTATTGTTATTTCTTTGAAATGAGGCAGTAGTAAGCCTAAAATCGCTCCCAAATCATAGCACAACATGTAAACAGTCTCTTTGCAAAGTGTGACTTTGATAAAGTGAAGCAGAAGAAAGTTAGAGAGGTTTTAGTACAGAGAGATCAGGTGAGGTCAAGCTAAATTATCATTTTGGAACCAGCTGTTCCAGCTGTTCCATTGCAATTTTATATACTATATAACTATATATTTCACTTGTTTTATCACTAATAGTGTTCAATCTATCCAAATACAGCAGTTTGGCTTCATTTTGAGAGACTGAATCCTCTTTGAGCCTGTGAACCATGGATCCATCCTTGTCTGACTGCAGTTTCCCTGTGTGTATGTGGACTTATCTCAGCCTATGATTGGTCGATTTGAGTGAATGAGCCCTCCTTCGAACCGTCATAGTCCATAGAAATGAGCGGGGGTGACGTGGGCTTGATTGACAGAATCGTTAGCCAGTCGAAATCAAAACTGCGCCTCGCCGAGCGTAAAAAACAATAAGCCCTACTCCCCCCCGGTCCCCTACGCTTGGTTGATCCCCCTTTTTTCAGGAAACAGTTCAGAAACACACAGGATATACGTCGAACACGTATTTGAATCTAAATAAGCGGGGATTTTTCCGTTCTCTTCAAGAAAATCAGCTCACGGTGAGGGAGCATTTATGATTTTTTGCGGTGGAGCGGTGTGTTCTTCTGGTGCTTGTTGGCTGTATCTCTGTGATGGTTTCATTGAGAGAAATTCTGAAGATGTCTCTGGATTCTGTCGAATTCTCATGCTCTGTGATGTATTGGTTGTCCGTGTTAGCCTTTAGCTTTGTGTTGGTATCTCAGAGTGGAGTGCGTAGCTCGCCAAGTCATGGCGAAAAATACGTGATATTGTGGTACATCTTCTATTTGATTATATTAGTTTGTGTATAATTGTGTTTGGAGTGTGTAAAATGGCTTGGATGATATTTTTGCCCAGAATCTCTTTGTTAAGTCGGTATATAACGTGTGTAACATTCATTATATTCATTTCTGAGAAGTGCATTGTACGACACGCTGTACGCTAAACTTTCTCCGTAGCCCCCCCCCCCCCCCTCGGGTGAGGAAGGTTAAAAAGGTCTAAACAGATAAATCAAGCAGGCAGATATTAATCCATTGCAGAAATGTCATTTTCAGGGTTGAGTCAGGGGTCAGTAACTAACAAGAGTTTGCAGTCCTGAAATGCTAAACGAGGTTTGAGGTCAATTAGAAACAGAACAATTTGTCCACCA